TGGGGGGGGGGGGGGTGTGTGTGTGTGGAGGCTGTACGTTTTCCTGACTTACGAAATCAAAGACTGAAGACTAGTACCTGATGATTTGCCTTGTAAATGCCCCATAGGCTTCTGAGAACTAAGGATAGAAGATGTGTTCATCTTTTGGCTTGAACTTTGTGGTGATGGATCAGTTGGATTCTGAGAACTCATTAAATGAAGAAAGTCCGGAATTGTTGTTGTAGGGCGTGAGTGATGAGGGACATCTAGCCCGTAAACTGCTGGGAGATACTTCTGCTGATTTGCTGCAAAATTTTGTCGGGCGGATTGCAGGCCATATTGAAGCGTTGACATATTATTATTACTATTACCTAGCCAATCCATTTTCCACTGGTCTTGCAATGTCATTGGCTGGCTAAATTGAACTCTATTTGGTTGCATTGACCACTGCTCCATTTGATTGCTACTGTGTTGAACCGTCGGTTGCATTACAAAAGATTGATTGTTGCACTGTTGAGAAATCTGCATCAGGAGTTGCTGCAGTTGGTTTGGATGAAGGGTATGCGGTTGTGAAACCTGACTCACGTATGACGGTAAACAAGTCTTCAAATCCATGCTGCTTTCAAGTATACTATAGGGATCGCGTGAGGGTGATGGTTGAATCAAGGCACAATTAAGAACTGGAGCCTCACTTGTTTTAGCCTGCTGTGAATCTGCAGTAAGGTATAACAGATGCATAGTGTGTGTGACACAACTTGATGTGGTGGTAAACTTAACGAATCACATATAATGGAAGAAACCAAAATGTACACATATTGCGCTAGAATTAACACAAAGAAACGTATCGTTACGTGGCTTACAGTTCATGGGCTTCGAGTTCCAGAGTAAACCAGAACTAAATTCAGCCTGAGAACAAAAATGGAAAAAAAATCAGTTCTAACTCCTTAATAAAGCATTTATTGCATGATAGTAGGTTTGGGTGTGTACCTTGGCTTCACCACAGTTAGAAGACTTGTCGTCCACTGAGCACCCAGCCACACTCAGTGGTCTCACGGCATCAAGTATGGCAGACTTTGTCCTTCCCTCGATTCTGCGCAATTGAAGTGTCTCAGAAATTCCGTTTTTGTTAAAATATTGTACATTTTCATGTAGGATTATATATTCAGCTAAATGCAGTTAAGAGAATCAATAACAGGAGTTCAATAAGAAACGGTGTTAACTATTCATTCTTTATACCATTCACACATCATTAATCAACCTTCCATTTCTGGCAACCACATTGAATACAAGCACACAAAACACAGACAAATACTATAATGTGAACCGGCATTGAAAGAAGCCAAGCTGCCATGAAGAAGACAACTTTTGCATCAGTTCAACAATAGTACAGAACACTCTGTAGATCGAATACAACGAGAACGAGGGAATCACCTTGCGTGCTCATCAACTTGATCGGCATTGGCGGCGAACTCTCTTATCCAATCATCAATGTCCACATCTTGACCCACTCCGTCGACTTTTTGCACAGAATTAGAATCCATCTGCCTGCGGCAGGGAACAACAGCTCCTCGAGATGACCACTGAGACGAGATAAATTTCAAATCGGAAGTGAATTCCAGAGCATGAACCCTACCATGCTAATCAGAGATCATTCTGCAACGGCTGCGATGTGCATAAAAAGGGCGTGGAGTGGAAGAGAATTGAAGCACAAGTAGAGGGGCGAATGATGGAAGGGCCGCGGGAATAAGGGGAAAGTGATGCCTCAGCACGGCTATGGCGAGGCGCTTAGAGCAGAAGAGAACAAAATGATGATGAGATTGCAAGCCGCGGAGCGTTGGAGAAGAAGACATCATCTCTCTCTTCTCTTGCGGGACGTTATGTCTTTCCATGCGTTATATTGAGCCAATTCAGCTCGTCGCCATTATTACTGCAACTTTTGTTTTTATTCTTACCCAGTTACACCGTATATTTCGCCATTTTTTTGTTTATTTCAAAGAGGAGTTTTGCTTCAAAAAAAAAAAAAAGAAAATGCAATTGAGTACTTGGATTGATATATAGTCTATACAAAAGGAGATTTTCCTTGGGCTGAGGGGCAGGAGAACAAATACGTTGATTCTCAGTGTTTCAGTAGATTCTGAGAATATGTATGAACATATACAATATTATCATAGAGTCAATAGTAATACAGACACACATATACTAATATAAAAGAGATAATCTTCGATTATTTTTGCAACATTCATATATTTTAATAATTGGATTTTTTTTATAAATTTTATTGTAAGATTGAAAAGTCACTACTACATAGATAATCGTCCTAAAATTTCACAAAATTCCTGTGTAGTTTGGTATTCCATTCACTAAAGTAAAATTTAAAGTAATATTTAGGTTTAAAACATACTAAAGTACAAATTGCTTGATTCTATAGCAAACTATTTAAGATTTTTGTGAAATTTTAAGATAATTGATGGAATAGGGATTTTACCAAATCCAATATTATTTGAATAGTACAAGTAAGCCCAATTTAGTCCGGCCTAAGATACAAATCAGATATTTTATTTAAGACGAAACTAGAGATATGAAGACGAAAAAGATAATTTGATGAGATATATATAAATATTGACAAGGGTCCAAGGATATATTTGGCGTAACCGAGACATAATCCCTTGTCACCCACTACCCCATTCCTTCCTCCTATTATAAGCAGAAGCTACGGAGAGAAGGGGAGAGACCAATTCCTACAAGCTCCTATTAGTCTATTACTATTTTTCATTCTTCTTCTTTAAGGTTCAAGCTCCTACATTGATGTATATGTAAATTTCTCCGAGATTAATAAAAATTCTCCCTTTGGTATGGCACCGCCTAAAAAGACCCGTGGTTTTCTCATGATTTGGGTTTTCACGTATAAATACTTTATCTCCGCTTTATTTATTTATTTACCTGATTTCGTTATTCAATGCAGTGTCGACCCGATATCGAGTTCGTTGGGTCGACACCCCAAAAAAGCAGTTTCCATCAATAATTATTTATGTGTTTGTAACTTTTAATCCTAGGACACAGTTTACAAAAGAATAATCTGACTGGAATGGTTCTATTTAAAAGTGATTAGAAACTTGGAAACTTGGATGGGGTCTCTTTTCAACATTCGAGGTGTGATACTTTTTTTGAAGTGATACTTTAATGGATTGATAAATTAATTAAACTTGGGCTATTATAAATTAATTATT